GATCTTTTAAGACTGCTCTAGAAGCAGTGCAAGCAATCCTTCTAGTTTCCTCAGCCCTGAAGGGAGGAGGGAATGTTAGATCCCTGGTTTTTTTGTTCCTTGTTATCTTTGTTTACTCAGATTTTAGATGATAGCACAGGACTATAAGCTATATCTAATTAATGATTTCCAAAGGTTATGTATTTCTATGTTAAAGTCTCCTAGATACATTAGGTACATTCCTCAAAGTTAGCTGTAGTAAGGTTCGTTTCGATTAAAAAAAAAAAGCTACTTTATCTAACTAAAATTTAATGGCTTTCCTATGTATTATACCTCATTAAGTATTTTGTGTTTGCTTGTTCTAGGTTGGAGATAGAGCTGATTCAAATCTTTATATAAGTATGAAGCTAAAAGCTGCTGAGGAGGTAAAATCTACTGTGGTACTGCTAGCTAGCACAGTAATCCCATCACCACTTCTCTCCCTTCTCCGCCAATTAAAATTATCATGCCTTTATCCTAATTTGACTTGTATTGCAAATTATAAATACGTGGCTTCTAACTAGAGCCTCTGTCTTTTATCTACTTGCTTTTCTTCTTAAACAGAAAGCTAGCATGGAAAAATTAAAGGAACACAATAAATCTGAAATATTATGGGGAAATAAATGGGTAATTGTATGGCAGTGGTTCTCAAACTTTTTGGTCGCATGATCTTTTTACCCTCTTAAAAAATATTGAGGACCGCACCTGAAGAGCTTATAGACTATATCCTATCATTGTTGACCATATTAGGAATTAAAAGTGTTAGTATTATTATGAAAATAGTTTTAACTTTGTGGACTGCTTGAAAGTGCCGGGTACTCCCAGGGATCGGTCCGTCACTTTCAGAATCACTGGAATGCTACAAATTCCTTTAGAACATAGGAATTTAATGCAAACAATACCTTTTAACCTATATCTAGTCATAATTACCCAAGAAATACTTCTCTCAGTCCTCCCACTTTTCTAGCTAGTTAGATCATTAAACATGTTTTACATTTTCATTCTTACAGATTGGAATCAGAGCCACGCATATTAAATTACCAAGAAACTCAACTGAGGCAGAGGTAAGCTGTTGGGTTCATGTGGAACAAACCTTCTTATGGTTCCATATCATGGTTATGATTTGTGACATTTTCAGGGCTAAGGGGTTTGTGTGTGATAGGTACATACCTTGCCCCATATTCAAGGCTGCTTACTTCAAAGGAAGAGACCCAGAATAAGTGGTGTAATCCTGTGATGCAGGTGATTCAACACACATCTATTAAGCGTCTGCTGTGTTTAGAGCATTGTGCTAGTAACTAAGGGAAATACAAAGAATAAATACCTGACCCCTGTCCTCATAGAGCATACAGTCATCACATAAAATAACTCAAATACATAAGAGGTACAGATAACCTAGTTCTACATAAGAGGTTCTACATATGAAATTACATAAAAAGTTTAATATCTATATTGAATCCATTGTTTCTTATAAATCTCCTTTCCTTTACTCTCAAGGGGTAAATTCTATAATCAGACCTTCATACTTGGAGTATGGAATGTCTTCCTAATTGCTGTCCCAGCTTCTATTCTTTTTCCCCTCTCTCATTCATCCCCAGCACAAGTGCCAAAATTACCTTCCTCAAACACAGGTCACTTCCCTACTCAACAAACCTGTTTTGTCTCTAGAATAAAATACAAACTTCTGTTTGGAATTTAAAGCACTTAGCTGACTTTTCCAGGCTGGTTTGATATTCCTGCCTTCATCTCGTCTCCATTCCAGCCAGACTGGCCTGCTGTCCTATTCCTCATCCATGACATTCCGTCCCATCTCCGTACCTTTGCACAGGCTGACCCTCAGGCCTTGAATCCATTTCCTCCTCACCTCACCTCTACCTTTTGAATCCCTAGTTCCCTTTAAAGCTCAGCCCAAATGCCGTTCCCTACATGAGGCCTTTTCTGATCATCCTGGCTGCTAATAACCCCCCTCCCAAAAAAATTTACCTTGTGTCTGTTTTATGTATTTATATGTATATTTGTTGTCTCCTTCTATAGAAAGAAAACTCTCAGGGCAGAAACGATGTCGTTTTTGCCTTTACAAACTTTCTTTTAGTAGATTTTTAATAAATGCTTTTTGATTGTTTGGTAGTAGGCACTTAATAAATGCTTATTCAACTGACTTGTGAACAAAAGCATTCCATTAATAAGAAATAAAAATAAGCTCATAACAGGGCCCTAAATGGCTGAGTAAGAAGGAAGGCCGAGAAGCAGAGCAACGTACTGATCAGAGAACCAACCTCAGTGTCAGGAAGACCTGGGTTCAAGTGTTATCTCTGATGCATTAACTGTGTGCCCTTGGACAAGTTACTTAACTTCTCAGTGTCCCAGACATCTCTCTAGAACTATAAAGTGCAGAAGTTGCATTCTTCTATCTAACTATCTGCATTGGTAGGAGCTTCTTCACTGAGAATGCCTTACAACAATGAAATCACAGATCTAGACCATTTATCCCCAGTGGTTCCCATGCCACCTCTCCCACCCACTACCTGCAAACCTTTCTTTAACTGCTGCCTCAACATACCTCTCTAGTATCTAGAGATATTATTGGGAGGTGTTTTGGTCTAACAAGAAAGTTATATGCAGGACCTATGTGATAGTGGGTTTTTTCTTTGAACTCTCTGAACTAAAACTCTTAGAGGGGAAATGAGGTTGGATATGTTTTGCCTTACAATAGTCTCCATTCCTACACTCTACCTTCTTTAACTTGTAAAATTTGTTTTTAGGTTTTAAAGTGCATCACATCTTTGAATGAAGACCCTACTGTACATGGACTCCTGGTCCAGTTACCTTTGGATGCAGAAAAGACCATTAGCACTGAGCTGGTGACAAATACCATCGCTCCCGAAAAGGATGTGGATGGGTGTGTTTGACTTTTTGAGTCACTTCATTTTAAAGCTGTTGTATCTTTAAAACATGTATTGGTAACTCAGGGAAGCTCCATACCAATGTTTAAATTGCCTTGTTCTCACCCATTCTGCCTTTAGTTTAATGTTTCAGTTTGACTAGCGTCAGTGCTGGGAAGCTTGCTAGAGGTGACTTAGAGGATTGTTTCATTCCCTGTACACCTAAAGGATGCTTGGAACTTATCAAAAAGACAGGTAAGGCTAATTTTTCAGAGCCTCCCCTTTTTTATCGTCTTTTATTAATGTTTATACTTTCTATTCATTGATTCCACGTAAGACAGCATGCATTAATTTAAGGACCTTTTCTGTACTGGGTACTGCTGGAGAGCTTACAAAGTTTATATAAAAACATGCTTCCTCAAGCTTGTATGTATCATAACCATTGGAAGTCTGTTTGTTTATGACAAATTAAAATCTTTGTTTTAATCTTTTAGAGTAATGGATTCTTTTATTTAGTTATCTGTAATTTTTTTTATTGGCTTTACATTCATTCATCAGTTAGTCACCAAGCATTTATTAAGTACTTATTACATGTCAGACACTGTGCTAAGGGTTGGGTAATACAGAGAAAGGCAAGAAATTGTTCCTGGCCTTATGAAACTTACATTCTAAAGGGAGAGTCAACATGTAAATAGCTAGATACATATAGATACATATACAGAACAAATGGAAGGTAATTTTTTTAAATAATATTTTATTTTTTTCCCAATTTACATGTAAAAACAATTTTTAGCATTCATTTTTTGAGTGCCATATCCTCTTCCTTCATCTCTTCCCCCACCCCAGACAGTAAGCAGTTGATATAGGTTATACATATGTAATCATACAAAACATATTTCCATATTTATCACAACTTTTAATATTTAGGTTGCATATCCATTTTGAGCTCTTTGTATATGGCTTAAGATATTAATTTCTAATTTAGTTGATTCTAATTTCTCTTATCGTACTTTGCAATTTTCCCATTAATTCTTGTTAAATAGAGAGTTCTTGCCCATGCAATGTATAATTTCAGGTTTATCAAGCACTGTGGGTTATTGAGTTTGATGTTTCTGAGACAAAATAGTGTACTATATAGCGAGCTAGACTTGGAGTCAGGAAAACTCATTTCAGATCTTGCCTCCATCACTTACTAACTCTCAGCCTCACTTTTCTCAGCTGTAACTTGTGGATAATAATAGCACCTACCTCTTAGGATTGTTGTGAGGATCAGATCAGATACTATATGTGAAGCACTTTGCAAACCTTAAAGCACTATAGATATATAATGCTTGTATTTATAAGCTACTGTTCTTATCTAATCTATTCCACTGATCTATTTGGTTTTTTTTTAAGTATCAAATAGTTTCTTTATGATTACTGCTTATTGTAATTAATTTGTCTAGTTTCATAAAGAAGTACATTGGAAACAGAAGTAATTTTGTTTCCTCTTTACCTATGTTTATACCTTTAATATTTTTCTCTGATCTTTTTGTGAGTGCTAGCATTTCTAGAACTATGAAATGAAAGGAATCAGAAAGGGAGTATCCTTGACTTACTCTTGCATTTATGGGGAAAGCTTCAGGTATTTCTCCATTGCAAATACTTTGGTTTTAGCTATGTGCTTTTGTGGTATTCAGAAAACTGCCCTTCGTATATATTTTTAAAACTTATTGCTGAAAATGCTTTAGCCTTGCATACACTTTCCTATAAATCGAATGTTATATGTATAAGAAGTTATTTACTATTTAAAGAAGTTGGTGCAGTCGTATCTTATATGGCAAGTTTTATTTGACCAGCTTTTTTTCCCCAAGTGTAAGTGGTGCTTGGTTGTAACTGGCAACAAAAACTCAAGTCTTATTGCCATTTATCTTTTAGGACATTAATTTTTTCTTCCTTACCTGTAGTTTCACTGATGTAGAGAAATTCTGGTGAGGAAACTCCCTGCTCCTGATGCAACATTTCTGCAGCTCAATAGTCTTGGTTTCCAGGGTCACAGAGAGATTAAGTGATTTATCCAGAATCAGACAGCTAGTATGTATTTGAGGTTGGATTTGAACCCAGATTTTCCTTACTCCAAAGTTAGTTTTCAGTCTGCTAAGCTGACTCTAATACTTAAATTTCCTGTCTAAAATTAATTTACTGTCAATTAGAGAAGCATAACATAAATTGCACATGAAATAGGTCAGCTGTTAGTTACCTAATGTACTGATTGAGTAATGCAGGTCACTTACACCTGAATCATGCTTTGAAACCCCTTTTCTAAATATTACAGTGTATGAGAATGTCTTTTATGTTTCTATTTCAAAATATCTCCTCTGGTTTGGCCTATCAGAAATTCTTGGAGATACTCTTATTTCATGGATGGTCCATTTTTCCCCCAAAGGATTATACTTTGTTTAGCTAAATATTGTATTCTTGATTGTAAGCCTTTGTCTTTTATATTTTGGAATATCATTCCAAACTCACTTCTTCTGCAAAGTGGCAGGTGCCAAATCTTGTATGATCTTGACTTTGGCTCCTTGGTATTTGAACTCTATTTTTTGGCGATTTGGTGATTTTTTGGTGATTGGTAGATTCTTTCTCTTTCCACTTTGCTTTCTGGTTTTAAGAATTCTGGGCAGTTTTCATTTATAATTTCTTGATATACGGTAGCAAGACTTTTTTGTTGGAGAGATAGTGTCATGATTTTTCAGAAAGTTTGATAATTTTAGATTAGCTTTCTTTCACCTATTTGCCCGGTCAATTGTTATGATATTCAATTTTTTTTCTTTTTTTTTACTTTGGTTTTTTTTCCACTCATTTTGTGGTTTTGTTTTAATTTTTCTTGTTTCATTGAGTCATTTTCTGTTTGATGTTTTCTAATTTTCATGGTATTTAGTTCTTAGAAAAGGTTTTCCATCATGTCTTCTAAGGGGTTGATGCCTTATTTGTTGTAAGGCTGCTCACTTCCTTGGGTTTAACACCCCACCTTGTGTCTCTGTCCAAGGTATTTCTTCATAATGTTTGTTGGATTTCTTGGTTTGTTCATATTAACTGTTTCAGGGTCTCGGTTGGGGACAGGGAGGGGGCGTGTTCTATGCTTGGGTCAGACACTGTTCTTGCACTCCTGAAGGGAATGAGCAGGCCTCACCTGATTCCATATGTGGTGAACAAGATTAGGACATTCCCCCAAGGGATTCCAGTGCTGCCCCAGCATTGGGCTTTGCCTTTCCCCTTACTGCCAAGCCCAGGGGCATACTGCCAGCACTCCTACCTAAACTACTGTGAGGACTCCCTATCGCCACATGACTCTGGTCTTTCTCCCTGCCTTAGGTGCTGCTATAGCTTTTCCCACACTGAGTCCCTACCAGAAGACTTTGGGGTTGCCCCCAACTGTTCTTTGGTCAGGGCTCTTCTCTTGCCAGTGGGCTGGAGTGGCCCCTTCCTAGGTGGAGGCCACACTATTCCTTTCCAGTTGCCCAAGTCTGCTTTGTACTGCTCTCTTGACCTGTCCCAGCTGGTCCATTTCAAGGTTCCTGCAGGATTTTGTCAGTGCTTCTGTGCACTCATAGGCCTGGTGCAGGACTCTGTATGTGATTCTCCTTATTTTACCAGATAACGGGACATTTTTAGTTTTGGGGAGATGTTTGTTGGGGGATCTGGGCTCCTATGGGTTACCTCACCTTCCTGGTCTCGGTTTCCTCCTCTGCAAAATGAAGGTGTTAGACTAGATATAAGATCCCTTCCAGCTCTGAATCTCTGGACCCTTCTCATTTTCCAGCCATAGCCTCTGCCCAGACCCCCAACTTCAAGGGAAATTGGGCAAGGAGAACTCTTAACACTCTTCCAGTATATCGTTTTTCTTGAAGTTAAGGAAAATGAAACTACATACTCATTAATCTAATAATCTTTCTCTGCTTTCTGTCTCCCTTTTCTCCCCTTCTCTCTCCACCCCCCCACCCCCCCAGCTTTGTTGCTTATAACTTTTGTTTCTTGTAATTTAGTCTGGTACCTTCTTCCATTTAGCTGTTTAGCTGTGTGTCAGGTTGTGTTTTTTTTTTAATGTATGTGTGTGGGTTTTTTTCCCACTCTGCTATGACTCAGTGAATGGATTTTGCTTAAGCTGCTTTCAGAAAACCCACAGCAAGAAGGAGTGCATGTCCAAGTCTCAATTTGTTACTCAAACTTAAAAGCAGAGAATTTACACCCAATAATGAAGGGAGGTGAAGAAACTTAAAAAGTTTCTGACTTATGATAGAAGCCCATACGTGTACACTTATTCCCTCTGACCCAAGTAAAATATAGGTAGCATTATGAACAAAAAATTCCTCTTGCCTCTGTGTTTGAGATCGATTCTGGGGTTTCTTTCAGGAGTACAAATTGCTGGTAGGCATGCTGTGGTGGTTGGACGTAGCAAGATTGTTGGTGCACCAATGCATGACTTGCTTCTGTGGAATAATGCCACAGTGACCACATGCCATTCAAAGACTATCCAGTTGTCTGAGGAGGTAAGATCTTCAGGGAATAGTGTATACCTAAGGTTTATCAGTGTTAGCTGTCCAAAGGTGTGCTATGTCATAAGGGTGCAGGGAATTGGATGTCACAAAGTAGCACTTGGACAGTGGCAGTTTGTTTTCTGACTACACTGAAATCCTTAGCACGGAACAAGAATAACTTCTAATGTCTTTGTGATCATAGGCAAATGTCTAAATCAAGATGTTCAGCCAGATTTTTGTATTCATAATAAGATGAGGCTAATGCTTCTGTGAACAGAGATGTGTCTTGTAGAATTGAAGGAGATAAATATCAGAAATAGCTTCACTTGGGATTTTTAGTAATGAGTCTTTGGCTCATTTGTAAGGCTTTCCTCTCAACCTCTCCCCTCAAATATCCCCAATAAATTTCTTTCACAATGTCCCTACAAAGAACATGGTCGTATCCCTATTTTATAGATGAGGAAATTGAAACCTAAGAAGCTAAGTGACTTACAAGGCTTGTCTGAGATAGCTTAGAGGAAAAGACAAGATTCCTGATGTTATCTTCCCATCCCAATGCCCTTTCCACTTCTTGACTGCGTTTCTAGTATCAATTTCTATTTACTGCTATGATTGTTTTTGTTTTTTCCCCCCTTTTTTTGACAGGTGAATAAAGCTGATATTCTTGTGGTTGGAACTGGACAGCCTGAAATGGTGAGAGGAGAATGGATTAAACCTGGAGCTATAGTAATAGACTGTGGAATCAACTATGTTCCAGATTGGTGCTCCACTTGCTATTTTTGAAAGTTGGGGAGGGTAAAGGAAGATCCTTTGACTCATTGGAAATAAGCCAAGAATGTACATGTTGAATGGAATGGTGATGAGTGAACTATTCTAGAACTTGTGCCATTTATGGACCTTAATGTGATGGGGAATGGGAGGGAGTAAAGATGTGATTTTTAGATGACGTTGATGAAATCTAGTCTCACTGAATAAATATACAGTGTAGCATCTAGGCTTTGTTTCAAGTCTTAAAGTGAAAGATAATCTTCTTTTCCCCTTCTAGTCTTAAATATGACTATTAAATTGCTAAGAAAATTAGTCACTGTCAAGTTTTCACCATATTTAATCTCCCTCCCACTCTCTCACCATGCTTTTAAGGCAGTAACTCATAATTGATAGCTCCTTTTTCCTGCAGTGCAATTACCTAATGGATTATAAAGAAATTGCTCTCCTACAACTCATCACTTTCTCTGCTTCCTGATGATATCGGAGTTTCTTCTCTTTAAGATCTTATGTCCTCTATATAACAAGATTTCAGCCTTTGCCATTCTTCACCTTTATCCTTTGTGAGATGCAGAGAGATAGAATAAGAAAGGTAATAGATGATGGCTGGTTATTCTGGTAGGTTATCATAGAATGTTTACTTGAACTTGAAGCTTTTATCTGTCTTCCCTACAATCTGCCTTTCTTAGAGAATAAATATGAATAAAACAAAAACAGCTCTTTCTTACTGTTGTTCCTCTGTGAATTGTTATTGTTAGGTTAGAACATAGACACACATAGTTGTCTACAAAACTGGTTCTCATGTTGCATGAGAAAGAATAAAAAATGTGACAGAACAATAGAGTGAATGAATCCAAAGGCTAAACTTTCCAAATGTCCTTTTGGATAGATCCTTGTCCCCTACAAAGTGATGCTCATGTCTTGGTTCTTATTTTAATTATTACTTTTAATATTAATTTATTAATTCATTTAAATAATTAAGTTAATAGTAATTTGATTATTACTTTTACTTTAATTATTACTTTTGTAGTACATTCAAGGGATAAAATAACATTGTCCTACCAAAAACCCAAGCAGCCTCTGCCAATTGAAAGTAGAAGAGAGCAGTTGGGTTAGTGAAAAGAATGGAGACTATGCCATATAAGGATCATCTGATGGAACTGGGAATGTGTATCCTGTAGAAGAGAAGACTTAAAGGGGATATGATAGCAATTTCCAAGTATTTGCAGGGCTATCATGTGGAAGAGGGATTAGACTTCCTATGTTTGGCTGTAAGAAGCCAAACTAGGAGTCAGGAAGAAGTTTCAGGAAGGCAAGTTTCAGTTCCATGTAGAAAAATACTTCCTGATAACTTGAGCTATCTCAAAGTAGAATGGGCACTGGTCTTCTTGCTGGGAAATGGTGAGTTTCCCCTCATTGACTAGGTCTTTAAGCAGAGGCTGGAGGATTTTTTGTTGGGGCTGCTCTAAAAGGGATTCTTCATCTTGTAGAGGCTGGATTAAAGGGCCTCTAAGGACCTCTCCAAATTTTAGAGGCTGAAATTCTGTGAAAGCTTCCACATCTTCACGTTGAAAAATGGCCAGTCTGGTAGTCATACCTTTCCTAAGGCAGTCAAAGAGCTGAGAGAGAGATAAGACTATCATAAAATTTAGCCATTCTGGAGGAAAATTGAGATTTGTGATTTGTACAGTAGGTTTTGGAAATTGTTGAGTGGTTGCTATGCTGGATGTTATTTATTGAAAGACTGAGAGGGCTACAGTACTTCATGAAAACAGGAAAGCAGTCTGTAAGCCCACCTTATTATTGGACTAAATCTGAGAGTACAGAAAAAGAAAAGTTTGAAGTGAATCCAAAAACTAAGCTATAGGTAGTAGTTGACTATAACATACTGCAGTTTCATTAATTGGAAATGTTACTCTGAGCCTTTTAGCTTAAGAGATCCAGGAATAAGTGTTCTTTCCCAGTTTACTGCTCAAAAACAAACAAAACTTCTCACAATCTAAAGCTTTCACAGAAAGTTCTGGCTGTTGTGAAGGTAGAGAAGCAGCAACAGCAACATCCCTTATATTTGCATGGTGTCTTATCCTTTTAAGAGCACTTGCAATTACATTATCTTATTTAGTTCTAGAAACGCTTCTGTGAGTTTGGTAGGGGAGGTGGCATTTGCCAGCATTGCAGAGGAGGAGGCTATAAAGGCTGAGCGTGGATTAGCCATGTCAAGACACAAGACTCCTACATCAGTGCTCTTCCCAATATAGCCTTCTTCATCCCTGGAGAACTGAAAGCAAAGAAAAGTGGTGACTGAAACAAGATTACATGCAAATGTTGGAAGGCCTTGCTCACAATGGTATTCCAGATTCTGGCTCTGAACCTTGGAGCTGCAAAGTCTAGACCTTCCCCTTTCCTAGGAGAAGCAGTGAAACTGAGTGTGGGAGGTGCCTTGTGTGAGGGAGTGTATGGTGTATCCTTTGCTTTTGTTCTTCCAAATAGCTATTCTTTGCTGGTAAGATTTGTAGTTGTTCTTGGCATCCTTTTGAGGAAAGTGTAATTACATTCTTTGCCTTTTGCATACATTTATGGAGCTGCTCATCTTTGGAATTGGATGTTGGATTGTTCTTCAACTCACGCAGGGAAGCTTAACAGAATGCTGGCAGTTGCTATAGAAACGGAATCTGGCAGCTGTGACAGGGTTCAGGCTTTGTGCACCTAAAAACTCTCTTTGTAGGCCGTGGTAAATTAACATTTTAAGAAGGGTTCATTATGGAACTGTTAATTGGCATAAAGAATAAAGAACAGCCTTGGTTTTCTTCAATGCCTGGTGTCAGGCAAAAGGATTTTCCTGTTAGTCTATCAAAGCCTAAGCATTTTATTGTTTTTCCATCTTTTTGTGTTTGTTTATTTTAATGATACATTTATCTTATTCTTTTTGAAGTTGAAAATAGCAATAGCTTACCATAGCCATAGCAGATTTTTTTTTAATTTATTTTTTCTCCCCAGTTACATGTAAAAACAATTTAACATTTGTTTTTAAAACTTTGAGTTCCAAATTCTCTCCCTTCCTCTCTCCCCACCCCCCTTCATTGAGAAGGCAAGCAGTTTGAGACAGGTTATACATGTATAGTCATGCAAAACTATTATTCATGTTGTGAAAGAAAACATAGACCAAAAAACTCAAGAAAAATAAAGAAAGTTAAAAAAAAGTTCAATCTGTATTCAGGCACTATCAATTCTTTCTCTGGGGATAAATAGCATTTTTCATCATAAGTCCATCAGAGTTGTCTTGGATCATTGTGGTTATTCACAGCTGAATATCTTAAAATATTGCTGTTTCTTTGTACACAGTACATTTCACTTGGCATCAGCCATGCAAGTCTTTCTAGGTTTTTCTGAGAGCATCCTGCTCACCATTTCTTACGGTACAATAGAATTCCATCATAATCACATTCCACAGCTTATTCAGCCATTTCCCAATTGATGGACAACCCCTCAACTTCTATTTCTTTGTCTCCATAAAAGAGCTACTATAAATATTTTTGTACATATAGGTCCTTTTCCTTTTTGTTTTTTATCTCTTTTGGGATACAGACCTAGTAGTGGTATTGCTAGGTCAAAGAGTATTCTTGGTTTTATAGCCCTTTAGGCATAGTTCCAAACTACTCTGCAGAATGGTTCAATCAATTCACAACTCCACCAGTAGTGCATTAATGTCTCATTTTTCCCACATCCCTTCCAACATTTCTCATTTACCTTTTCTGTCCTGTTAGCCAGTCTAACAGATAGGAGGTAGTACCTGAGAATTGCTTTTAATTTGCATTTCTCCAATCAATAGTGAGTTAGAGTATTTTTTCATGTGGCTTCAGATAGCTTTGATTACTTTAGCTAAAAAATAACCATACTTTTTGATCATTTATCAATTGGGGAATGGCTCTTATTTTTATAAATTTGGTTCAGTTCTTTATATGTTTGAGAAATGAGGCCTTTTCCAGAGAAACTTGCTTCAAAAAATTCTTTCACAGTTACTATTGCTAACTGTATTTCCCTCCATCCTATTCTACTCCCTACCTTTATTCTATTCTCTCTCTCCTTTCACTGTCCCTCTTCAAAAGTGTTTTGCTTCTCCCCCAATCTGCCCTCCCTTCTATCACAAACCCCCACCCCTGTCCCCTCCCGCTTTCCTGTAGGGTAAGATAGATTTCTATAGCCAATTGCGCATGTATATTTCCTCTTTGAGCTATTTCTGATGAGAGTAAGGTTCACTCACTCTGCCTCACCTCCCCCCTCTTCCCCTCCACTGTAAAAGCTTTTTATTGCCTCTTTTATGTGAGATAATTTACCCCTATTCTACCTCTCTCTTTTCTGTTTCTCCCAGTATATCCCTCTCTCACCCCTTGATTTTATTTAGAAATCATCCCTTTATAGTCACACTATACATGTGCCCTCTCTCTATATATACTCCTTCTAACTACCCTAATAATGAGAAAGGTCTTATGAGTTACAAATATCATCTTCCCATGTAGGAATGTAAACAGTTTAACCTTATTAGGTCCCTTGTGATTGCCCTTTGCTGTTTACCTTTTTATGTTTCTCTTGAGTCTTGTATTTGAAGATCAAATTTTCTATTTAGCTCTGGTCTTTTCAAGAATGCTTGAAAGTCTTCTATCTCATAGAATGTCCATTTTTTTCCCCAGAAGGATTATACTCAGTTTTGCTGGGTAGGTGATTCTTGGTTGTAATCCTAGCTCCTTTGCCCTCTGGGATATCATATTCCAAACCCTCCAATCCTTTGATGTAGAAGCTGCTAAATCTTGTGTTATCCTGACTCTGGCTCCGTGATACTTGAAATATTTCTTTTTGGCTGCTTGTAATATTTTCTCCTTGACCTAAGAACTGTGGAATTTGGCTATAATATTCCTGGCAGTTTTCCTTTTGGGATCTCTTTCAGGGGGTGATTGGTGGATTCTTTCAATTTCTATTTTACCTTCTGGTTCTTAGAATATCAGGGTAGTTTTCCTTGATAATTTCTTGAAAGATGATGTCTAGGCTCTTTTTATTTTATTTTTTTTTTGATCATTGCTTTTAGGTAGTCTAATAATTTAAAAATTCTCTCTCTTGGATCTGTGTTGCAGGTCAGTTTTTTTTTCCAATGGAATATTCCACATTGTCCAAAATTTTTTTGTTCTTTTGGTTTTGTTTTATCGTTTGTTGATTTCTCATAGGATCATTAGCTTCCATTTGTTCCGTTCTAATTTTTAAGAAATTATTTTCTTCAGTGAGCTTTTGGACCTCCTTTTCCATTTGGCCAATTCTGCTTTTTAAGGCATTCTTCTCCTCATTGGCTTTTTGGACCTCTTGTACTATTTGGCCTAGTCTGTTTTGTAAGGTGTTATTTTCTTCAGTATTTTTTTTGTGTCTCCTTTACCAAGCTGTTGACTCATTTTTCATGATTTTCTTGCATCACTCTCATTTTTCTTTCCAATTTTTCCTCTACCTCTCTTACTTGTTTTCAAAATCCTTTTTGAGCTCTTCCATGGCCTGAGACCAATTCCTATTTTTCTTAGAGCCTTTGGATGTAGGAGCTTTGACTTTGTTGTCTTCTGATTGTGTGTTTTGATCTTCCTTGTCACCAAAGTAAGATTCTATAGATTGAGGGTTTTTTCCCCCCTCACTGTTTGCTTATTTTCCCAACTAATTACTTGACTATTTACCTCTGGTAAGGGAGGGCTCTGCTTCCAGTGTGGAGGGTGTACTACTTCAAGGGTTTTGTGCAACTGTTTTCAGAGATACTTCTAGGGACCTGTAATTTTTCAGTTCTTCCAAGGTGGCATGATCTAAGGAGACATATTTACTACTCTCTGGGCCTCTACCAGTTGTCTTGTGGTCTGTGAGTGACCATAAACATCTTTTCTGCCCTGGAACTGTGAGGAGTGTCTCTCCTCCCCACCCCCCACACTTCTGCCACAAGCTCTGGCGTACTGATGCTCCTCCTCGTTCTGAGACTGCCACCCAGTACTGGGACCTGGATCCAAGTATGTACAAACCAACAGAGTTCTTCCTCAATGCTAGCAAAGAGACCTTTGTAATCTTCTTCTGATCAGTTGTTCTACTCCTTTACCATCTGTGGGATGAGAGCTCTAGAAACAGCTGCTATAACTGCTGATTCAATGATTTCCAAGGCCTGCTCTGGTTTGCTGTGGCTGGGCTGTGATGGCACACCTGCGTTGGACTAAGCTGTCTTTAGCATCTATGGGCAGAGGGGTCTGGAAACCACTACTGCTGCCAGGGATTCAGTCACCCCAAGGCTGCTCCGTGTTTGCTGGGGCCTGGCCTGTACTGGACTACACTCCTCTCTCACCCTGGTGCAACAGATCTTTCCTGCCAACTTTTCAAGTTGTCTTGGGCTGGAAATTTGTTTCACTGTCTTTTTGTGGGTTCTGCTGCTATAGAATTTGTTTAGAGTCATTTTTAAAGGTATTTGGAGGAGTTTAGTTGATAGCTCAGGTGAGTCCCTACCTTTACTCCACCATCTTGACTCTGTCTCCCTATCTTATTCTTTAAAGAGGAAAAGGGAATTATACCTGGTAGGACCCAAGATCTTAAGCCCACTTAAGTTTCTAGTACAAACTCTCAAATAACTGTCACTCTATCAGATACTACAGGAAACACAGCTATGAAAACATTGGATGAAGAGCTAAAAATTCATGAGAATTTGGTCTGGGTATTTCCTTTATCTGTAAGGATTTTTCTCTTTTTAAAAATTATTCTGTAGATAATGGAAAACCTAATGGAAAAAGAGTTGTGGGGGATGTGGCTTATCATGAAGCAAAAGAGAAGACTTCCTACATCACGCCAGTTCCTGGTGGAGTTGGACCCATGACTGTGGCAATGTTAATGCAGGTACTTCCATTTGCAAAAAAAAAAAATAAATAAATAAAAAGCATTTTATGTAATAACAATCAGTACAACAGACAATAGTTGTTTGTCATATCCTTCGGTTTCAGAAATGTTTGGAGAATAGACTCAGAAGAGATAAATAAGTATATTAGCCTGGCAGAGAAATTTATGTGGAGATGAAGATACATAAACATAGAGCTAAGTATCTGTTCTAAAGGAGTAGAGCCATGGCACAGATGATCTCTAAAATTATTTATATTTGATTTTGAAATGTGGATCGCTCACTTTCTCAACACATCCCAACCATGAATGGAGGGAGGCAGCCCAGGAGTCTGTTGGTTGGCAGTACTGAAGCCAGGCTGGAAAATGCCGACATTTTCCTGGGGTAGCAGTGATGTCATCACACAGCAACCCTCCCTTGGAAAAGTCAACATTGTACTGGCACAGCAGGGCAGCCATTTCATGAGAGAGGATCCTTCAACTGATTGTTGTTGGGTTTGTACTTTTACTGGATAGGGTAAAAAACTGGCCTTCATCCTCTAGATAAAGTGCAGTACGTCATATACTTCTAGTTGAAAGTCTTTATATAATTTGTGAGATTAGTTTCGGAAAAAGTAAAAGACATATAGCCATCAAAATACCAGGTGCGTGATCTGATCTCCCAGCAGCTTCTAGGTTCGTAGTTTTATAGGAAATATTACATACACACATACATACACACATGCACCTATATATATATATATGCATATGTGTGTAATATAAATAATTATACATTTGTATGTATATGTTTATATGTATGTATGTATATACATGTATACATATATACACACATGAGTATTAAATCATATTTATAATCCAGAGCATTAATTTTTCATTGTATTCAGCATTCCCAATCACATATTAGGCAATAAATATATATATTTGTTAAATTTAATTGAGGTGAAATCACTACAGGTTTCTGACCTTTGATCTTTGTGGTATCCACACTCAACAACCATTTCTTTAAAATGCCGACATTTTACTGGGGTAGCAGAGATGTCATCACACAGCAACCTCCATTGGAAAAGTCAACTTTGTACTGGCACAGCAGGGCAGCCATTTCATGAGAGAGGATCGTTCAACTGATTGTTGTTGGGTTTGCACTTTTACTGGATAGGGTAAAAAATTGGCCTTCATCCTCTAGATAAAGTGCAGTACATCATATACTTCTATTTGAAAGTCTTTATATAATTTGTGAGATTAGTTTGGAAAAAAGTAAGAGACATAGGGCCATCAAAATAGCAGGTGGGTGATCTGATCTCCCAGCAGCTTCTAGGTTCGTAGTTTTATAGGAAATATTACATACACACATACATACACACATGCACCTATATATATATATGTGCATATGTGTGTAATATAAATAATTATACATTTGTATGTATATGTTTATATGTATGTATGTATATACATGTATACATATATACACACATGAATATTAAATCATATTTGGAATCCAGAGCATTAGTTTTTCATTGTATTCAGTATTCCCAATCACATAATACGCAATTAATATATATGTCTGTTAAATTGAATTGAGTTGAAATCACTGCAGGTTTCTGACTGTTGATCTTTGTGGTATCCACACTCAACAACCATTTCTTTAAAATGCCAACATTCTACTGGGGTAGCAGTGACGTCAATATTCAGCAACGCTCTCTTGGATAGGTCAACATTGTACTGGCACAGCACGGCATCCATTTCATGAGAGAGGATCCTTCAAGTGATTGTTGTTGGATTTGCACTTTTACTGGATATTGTAAAAAATTGGCCTTCATCCTCTAGATAAAGTGCAGTACATCATATATTTCTACTTGTCAGTCTTTTATAATTTGTGAGATTAATTTGGAAAAAAGTAAGAGACATATAGCCATCAAAATAGCAGTTAGGTGATGTGATCTCCCAGCAGCTTCTAGGTTCCTAGTTTTATAGTAAATCATACATACACATATACATACGAACACACACCTATGTATATACACACACACACACACACACACATATGTATTATTGTATATGTGTGCATCATAAAAAATTATATATTTGTATGTATATATTTATATGTATGTAAGTGTGTGTGTATGTATATATATATATATACATACACACACATGAATATTAAATCATATTTGGAATCCAGAGCATTAGTTTTTTATTGTATTCAGTATTCCCAGTCACGTGCTAGGCAATTAATATATATATTTGTTGAATTGAATTGAGTTGAAATCACTACAGGTTTCTGACCTTTGATCTTTGTGGTATCCACACTCAACAACCATTTCTTTAAAATGCCGACATTTTACTGGGGTAGCAGTGATGTCATCACACAGCAACCCTCCCTTGGAAAAGTCAAGATTGTAGTGGCACAGCAGGGCAGCCATTTCATGAGAGAGGATCCTTCAACTGATTGTTGTTGGGTTTGCACTTTTACTGGATAGGGTAAAAAATTGGCCTTCTTCTACTAGATAAAGTGTGTATATCACATACTTCTACTTGTAAGTCTTTTTATAATTTGTGAGATTAGTTTGGA